CCGGCACATTTCTGGGTCACTCTCCTTGGAAAACGAGGCCGGGCCTGAGCGGGGGGTGGGAGAGAGCCACTCCTCATGGCGGCTGAAGGTGGCCGCTCCAGGTCACTGCTCTGTGCACCATGACAGCTGCGCACGAGAGAGCTCAGCTGGGGAGGCGGTGGCAACCTGCTCTCGCCACTCTCTGCCCGGGCCCAGCTGCCAGGGACAGAGGCTGAGTGGCTGGAAACATGCCAGGGGGGAGATTGGGCTCTGGCTCGCTTGGCCTCTGTCCCCAGCAGCCAGGCCAGGCTGGGAGCGGAGGAAGCGGAGCAGGCCAGCTCCCCTCTCTCAGGCAGCCGCCGCTCTGCACAGAGCCGCGACCCTGAGTGCCAGGCATGAGAGCCGGCTGGTCCTGCCCCTTCTGCTGCCCTCCTGGGCCCGGCTGCCAGGGACAGGGGCTGAGCGAGCCAGGAGGTGGGCGCAGCAGGAGGACAGAGCCCCTGTCCCTCTCTCCTGGTGGGCCAAGCAGAAATCTGGTGGGGGGGGGGACATGACCTCGCCTGTCCTCCCCACGTCTCCTATGCACCTGGCAACCAGAATGGGGCCCTTCTGAGTACGGGCTCGGCACCATGGCACCTTTTGGCACCATTGTAAACCCAGTACTGCATACAGGAGCCCGGGGAGCCCTGAAGAATCACCGAGCCACCATGTGGCCTAATGGAAAGCCCATTGGACTGGGACCAACCCTGGCCCTGCCATTGGCCGGGTGAGCTACCGTGGGCCAGTCACATCGCGGCTCCATGCCTCAGTTTCCCAGCTGTAAAATGACGACAGTGATGTAAAGTTCTGTGCGATCAACTGAGGCAAAGCGCTGTGTGAAGCGGGGTCTTTTGATCATTACCGAGCCACGGTATCATAGCAGCAGCGAACCTGGTGAGAACGACAGCTGCCTAGACCACCAGCTCCGCCCAACCAGCATTTCTCTGGCTGTTTAAAAAACTAGGAAATGAAATGGCAAAAAGCTGGGTATTTGGTTTATTTTGATTGTTTTTTCAAATACAAGAAATCAACCAAAATACCAGATTCATCAGAATACACAAAGTAAATAGGATAAAGGGAGGGGAAGCGACATAGACTCATAGAATGATAGAAGGGACCTCGCGAGGTCATCTGCTCCAGTCCCCTGCACTCACGGCAGGACTAAGTATTATCTAGACCATCCCTGACAGGTGTTTGTCCAAACTGCTGTTAAAAATCCCCCATGATGGAGATTCCACCACCTACCTAGGCAATCTATTCTAGTGCTTAACCGCCCAGACAGTTAGGAACATTTTTTCCTAATGTCCAACCTAAACCTCCCTTGCTGCAATTTAAGCCCATTGCTTCTTGTCCTGTCCTCAGAGGTTAAGAAGAACAATTTTTCTACTACCTCCTTGTAACAACCTTTTATCAAGTCCCCCCAATCTTCTCTTCTCCAGACTAAACAAACCCAATTTTTTCAATCTTCCCTCATAGGTCCTGTTTTCTAGACCTTTCATCATTTTTGTTGCTCTTCTCTGGACTTTCTCCAATTTGTCCACATCTTTCCTGAAAGGTGGTGCCCAGAACTGGACACAATACTCCAGTTGAGGCCATATCAGTGCGGAGTAGAATGTAAGAATTACTTCTCGTGTCTTGCTTCCCACACTCCTGCTAATACAGCCCAGAATGATGTTTGCTTTTTTTGCAACAGTGTTACACTGTTGACTCATCTATAGCTTGTGGTCCACTATGACCCCCAGATCCCTTTCCGCAGTTCTCCTTCCTAAGCCGTCATTTCCCATTTTGTATGTGTGCAACTGATTGTTCCTTCCTAAGTGGAGTACTTTGCATTTGTCCTGATTGAATTTCATCCTATTTATTTCACACCATTTCTCCAGTTTGTCCAGACAGATCTATCTTCAGGGTCCATGTTAATCATAGACCTCTAAAAAATCAGCCCAAATTGCTTTGAATTTATCGGCCTTTCCTTCTCTCATTAGCTGTCAGGGCAACCGTCCTACCGAGCCGGGCGGGCACCAATATTTGGTGGAGAGCAACTTTCCATTTTTGCAAGCTTAATATTTTAGTGACCAAACCTGCACATTGGAACCACGCTGCCTGGTTACCAAGTCATCCTCAAACAACACTCAGCAAAAATGCCTCTGGCCCTACTCCAAAAACTCCAGGTCAGTTTCACACCCACGTACATCTTAGCTTGCGATTCACTCCTCGTTGGGCTGGGAGCTCATCCCCTGCCATGCTCTGCCCTGTCCCGGGTTCCTGCTAAGGGTGGGGCAGAGAGCTGATCTCCCGGGTCACGGCCGAAGGCAGCCAAGAACAGGCACTAGAGCCAGGGAGAGTCACCTCTCCGGCGTATGTGCAGGGGGCTTTGTAATTCCACCCGGTCCAACATTAACCGCGGCTGAACTTTGACTAGCTGCTCCGGTGGGAAAGGGGGAACTGCATCAGCAAAGCCCCTGACCTCACTGCTCTGCAGCAGCGTTGGCCGGAGCGTCCCTGGGTTCATTTGGAGATGCCGGCGTTGGTGTTTTCAGAGCCTCTGGCGTCTATCCAGCCTTGTTCCCAGGAAAAGTGTTTCCCCGCCCCACCCTCGCCGTCTGGCAGCAGTTGTTACCTGGTGCCCCAGGCCCTGGATTTTGCAGATAAGGAAGTAGAGGTGAGGGCTTGTTGCTGACTGGCGTCTGGGAGAAGTCGGTGGGCACCGTGCTGCTCCACAGGGATCCCCCGTCACAGTCACTGGCCCGCACCAGGGAGAGAACCCAGCAGCCCCCATTGAAGTGTAGACCCAGCTCCCCACCCACTGCACTGCACTGCACTTTCAAACCAGTGACTCTGGGGAAAGGGAAGTGGGAGCCGGCTCACACCCTGGGCTGGGCCTCACTGTGGTTGGATGCAGCAGCCGGGCTGTGGGCACCGTGCTGCGGGGAGGGTGTGTGTGACAATCACCAGATTCCCCAGACCTTTCTGTATGGAACCCAGGAGTCCTGACTTCCTGACCCCCCACTCCAGCTCACTCCAGCCCCACTTTTTTCCCAGAGCTGGGGATAGAACCCAAGCATCCTGGCTCCCAGCTATTCCTGCTCTAACCACTAGACCCCACTCTCCCCCCCCCGAACCGGGGATAGAACCCAGGTCCAGTCCCCGCTAGAGGCTGAACTGACGTTCTCCCGGGCTGTGTAACCCCCATCCTGTGGTACCTGCTTTCCCCACTGGAGTCTTTTTGAGCCTAATCTTAGGGCACAGAATGTTTGAGGTGAGACTAAAAAGATTAGGGCCGTTCAGCTTGGCAAAGAGACAACTTAGGGGGGATGCGACAAAGGGCTAAAAAATCATGCCATGGCATGGAGAAAGTGACTTGAGAACTGCTATTTCCCCTGTCCCACAGCACCAGAACCAGGGGTCACGCCATGAAATAAACAGGCAGAAGGTTTAATATGAACAAGAGGTCACACTTTTCCCCACAACGTACAATTAACCTGTGGAACTCATTGCCAGGGGATTTGGAGATGAGGCAAAGGTATAAGTGGGTTGAAAAGAGAATTAGATGAGTTCCTGGAGGATCGGTCCATCCATGGCTATTAGCCAAGCTGGGCATGGACACAATCCCATGCTCAGAGTGTCCGTAATCCTCTGACTGCCAGAAGCCGGGAGGAGAAGTCAGGGGTGGCTCTGTCCTAAATTGTCATGTGCTGGGCGCTGTCCCTGAAGCTTTGGTAGTGGCCACTGTCAGACACAGGACACTGGACGAGCTGCACCATTCACCTGACGCGGTGCGGCCACGCTTCTGTTCTTAACGGGCTTCTTGACGGCACCAGGCATGAGAATTAAAATTTTTCTCCATTGAAATAAATAAATAAATTCCAAAGAAGTTGGTCACTGGTTTGTTTCATTCAGTGCAGCAATATCAAGGGGCTTGACTCCATCCGGGGAACCGAGAATCCATGGGTGGGACAGCGGCTGACGCAGACTGCCGGGGCGTGTTTCAGTGCTGC